GATTTATTTTATACAAAATAAAAGTTAATTTAAATGCGCTGTTTGTATAGAAATATATAACTTCTTTTAAAGACTGACTTTAATCTGTTTCATTTAATTGATTTTCTCAATCTTTTAAATTTATTTTCCTCTTTCTTAATTATGATTCGACAAAAGTATACTGTGTATCATAATGAAGAAAAATATCTTAAGAAGTAAAAATATAAAAACCAAAAATTAGAAACTTAGTGTGAAAAACCAGAAGTCAGAAATCAAAAGTTAGAAGCTTGATATTAGAAATAAGAAATCATAAACTAGAAATTAAAAACCAGATATTAGAAACCAAAAGTTAGAAGCTTGGTATAACAAATACATTAGAAATGAGAAATTATAAACTAGGTATTAGAAATTAGACGTAAGAAGCTAGAAGTTGGAATATTAAATTGGGAACCGCAGGTCACATAAGTAAACGTCATAGACCTTACATGGTTCGCATGTTTTATTCAACCGATTAAATGGTCAATGCCAGCTTTATATTGTTATTGATTGGTGTAACGACCTCATAACGATGAGTTGCACAACCGACATGTATTTCATTGTCTGAAGCAGTAAAATAATCGTTAAAATGACACTAAGACCCCCATTAAAACAACCGTGAAGTTTCTACTTAACGGAAACGCCACCCCCTCAATTACAGCGCTATCGAATTCAACTCCGTGTAGGTGTTGTATAATACATGATAATGTGATAAAGATATAAGTAACAAATTCAATACGTGATTAAGGCTGGTATTATATGAACGGTATTTAATCGGAGTTAATCTGCGACTTAAGTTCTGAAAATAAAATAGAACCAGGATTACATATCGATATCCTTTCTCAGATGACCAGCTGTGAAAGTGTCACATTGTTGTCTATCCCACTGTTACGAAACTGCCATATATTTGTGTTTTTAAAACTTCACCAACCTCCCACATCTTAAAACAAACTCACAAACACACCAAACCAACAAAACAAAGACCTCCTATCAAAATTGAAGAACTGTAAAAAAACGTCCTTCGTTCAACTCATTTGGTGTTGTAAGAAACTGATTATGATATCGAGTTGAAATTTGAATTCGAAATGACACTTGCTTACAGACACAAGGTACATGAGTAAGTTGGTATACATGTACATACATGTATCTTTAAGAAAAAAGTAATTATCTCGATATTAAGAAAGACAATAGTTGTTACCGATTATTGTATATTATTGTATGTGATGATATATAGAAGTTATTTGTTATGCTATACATATTTTATATCAACATATAATATACTTAATAATTCAAGAAGAAAAAACTTTTACCAGCTTTCCGACAGAACAGAGGCAAGAATCGGACAGGCGATGCCTGATTCAATTTTTCTGTCCGTGTTACTAGATTCCGGATACATCACACACAACGTTTCCCAATATTATTCATCGTCAAACATTTCAGTATTTTCCTTTTCCAGTATTTTTTCTGATAAATTATCTACCTTTCGTGGCGACAAAGAATTTGGACTCCTCTCTCCATGATCGGTTGCTGACAGCGAGCAGACCCAGATAACTCAAACCGGAACTTTGGTCTGGGAAAGGAGAGTTCCACTGTTTGTTCTGTACTACTTAGTCTCGTTCAACCAGACTCTTGTTGCCTGCGCAAGCTAATAACAAGTGATCAAGCGTCTGGTTGAACGAGACTAGGTACTACTTTGATACGTTCACCAGCCAAATAGTCTCTTTCAACCAGACACTTGCATTTTGTTGAACGAGACTGCCAGCCAAACAGAGTTAGAACGGTTCCGAAGAGGGGTCGCATCGGGATCTCTCTGTAAAATTACTCATGGCATGGGATCGCATTACGAGAAACGCATAACACGGTTGACCGGAAGTGGTATCGGGAAATATTATAAAGTATCACATATTCGAAAACACTCACTCCAGGACTGCTCAACGCAAACAATCATTGTTTGCATAACTATTCTATTTGTTCGACCATGTCGCTAATCCTGGGAGCGTGGGCGATAGCCCGAACAGCACCCAAAGCAACATCAGTTAACAAATACTTCAATTTAACTTCCTAACAAATCACGAAAAATGTGCTAAAATATTTTTTTTGTGTGTGTTGACTATATATCTTCACACGTTGATATCTAATCTTCATTAATACCATTGCTGACGATAAGTTAGTTGTTATTCCACTCTTGACATTTAAACCTGTGAACACGAATCTATACATAAACTTCCAATGGGTATCTCCCATGTTCAAATCCGCGTCGGCGATTTAATGTGGATCACCAATTTTATAAAAACAAATACATGAAATGGAAAAGATCGCGGTGTTACGATTATATATATATATATGTAATAACTATATTATCCGGAGGATACAAAATTATACATACTTAGTGGTCGGTTTATTGTTTCATTTATGTTTTAAGCAATTCCCCAACTATATAACACCAGCCACGCCCGTCGGTGGTTCCTGATCGGAATTTGTTGGAAAGACACTTGTCCCCAAAGACTGTCTCTAAACCAGTTACACAGCCGGCTGTATGTCTGGTGTATACAGCCATTTGTTTGTTTAGTACTTTAATTTTCTTTGATTTACGGCCGCAGGAAAGCGAGACGACATCTTAACGTGTGAAGCAAGCTAAAGCATTTCTAGGAATATTCAGACATTGGTATGTTCATCTGTCAAAACAAAAGTAACCGAATCGTCTCAAACGCTGATCGTCAACCTGTAGTAGGAACAACTAAAAATAAACAAACACTTGTGAATGTGTCTTTATGAATGTTCTAAAGCTTGAAATAACTCATCATTACGCTGTTTGTTAACGCCCGAATGATTTTTTAAAGCAAATGGAACGGCTTTCAGTCTGGAAATAACAAACTGCATGAAGCGCGCTAGTTCAAGAATTATATTTATCATTTGAAAAAAAAAATCATAGAAAAAAAATATTTCAGCATATGACTGGTTTACCCGTTGACCGTATAATTTGTCCGGTTTGATTACCGTGCTGGGTGCATTTGGCAAGGTACACATTTCAGAGAAGCAGCACTCTAAAGTTGGCATCAGAACCGCGCTATCCAAAAGAGGCAAATATACAAACAAACCACCTCAAGCACACACGTGTATTCTACTCACAAACAGACACGTCATTAAAACAATAGAATAATGACGATCGTTGCAGTTATTAGGACACTAGGATCGATAACACCTAAACCGCGGAGAATACGGAACACGTGCTGCGGGACTTTCCCACCATTTGGACAAGCGACCACTTTTACGTCAACAATCTGAATGTGACAACACTCTCTTTCCTGTTTCAAGAACTTGACGAACTGACGCCAAAACCCTGGGGAAAAACCTAAATAAAGCATAATCAATTAAAGAAAAAACTCGTGGACACGGTAAAAAAAAATACTCAAACAAAATTGTCATCTAAGTATTAGAAAGCATTAATTCACTCAAAGAATTTATTTCATCTCATTACGTATTTGACTTTGAACAAAACTTGGACGAATTCTGTAAAGATCTTGAGTTGCAGTACGATCATACAGCGTCTTATGTATGGGCTTATTTTATGTTTACCACATTGCAGTTAAAATTACATTGGTGTGGATATAGAGGCAGCAATGCCTGCGTCCACTAATATCCTATTAAATCTATTAATCTTTTAATGTGTCAATATAAATAATGTCGGATTTTACTAACAGGTTCCTCTTTCTGTAACCAATCAAACTGAAATTAAGCAATGACGGAATTTATCATAGTCGGAAAAAAATTTCCGATTTGAAAAGATTGTTATGGTTCTTTAAGTTATAAGTGTGTGACACATTTTGGTTGATAGGTTTATCAGAATGCTTTGCAACAGAAATGTAAATAGATATACTGGCATAAAAATTGAAAAAAGACCCATGCCGTTTAAGCCCTATGCGTGTATATACAACCATATCCTTTGATGTTGGGGTTAATGTTGGGGTTAATCCCAAACGAGGCTGACTGTCAGACAACGATAAAACTTACAACTTTTCCGATTTGTTGTCGTTAGTTTTGTCGCCGCCGACCTGACTTTTGACCTCGTCTGGAGCAGACGATTTGTCATGGGCTCCCTCGGGCTTCAGATAGATTACGAATTGTATCTCGGGGTTGCAATCGTCTGCCTGAGGAGTTAATGTCTAGTACATCAGTGCTGAAGAAGTTTTGCATTTGAAAAAAAAGGTGTTAATTTTTATCAATACGAGTTGAATTACCCTGATTTTTTTTTTTATTAATTTTGTAATACTTTTGTAAGTCATTTCGACCAAGGAAGCAACCATTCTTAGATACACCAACAACAATCTACACGAGCTGTCTCCCATTTAGCTGTCGCTGATAGCCTAGTGCGACACCAACACACTTCCAGAAAACCTGGTTTCATGTGGGATGTCTCATAGGAGTAATGTTTTTCGAGTTGTTTTCGTGATTATGGTGTCTCTCCGGGTCTTTTCATTCTATTTCAATTTGAATTCCAATTTTGTCTTTATGTGTTGCTGTTTTTCTAAATTTTAGTTTTATGTTTGGTCTTGTTTCATCAGTACAATTTTGGTTTTAAAATTGAAACGCATAATGTTTTTAATACTGTGAACCAAGAATAGACTGTAGGGAAACTTCGAACATCGTTTCAGTGTATGAAGTCGACGCAACTATGGTTTTCTACGTCCGGTTAATTTCTCCGAGAACATGCCCTCCTGATTACTGAACTTTGAAGGTGTAATGAAAACTGAGACAGGTCTCTCTGAACATGTTTCTAAGAGATAAAAAACATAACTTACAGATTGGGAAGAAAATGTGCTACATACTGAGTGAGAAAATTAAGACATTTCTGTTAGAACGGCGTCGTACCTTGAAGGACGAACGCCCTCTATACCACTGGAATCAATTAGACTGGTCCAATGGATCCGCTCATCGATAGCGATGCGGCGTGTTTGCCCCTGCCACTGTAGCATGTGTGTTGGTACTGCGAACAGGCGGGACCGGGCTCGCGCGCGCTGTTAGAACCTACCTGTAGTTCCGTTGGAGATCTGAGGTAAACTTTATCGGGACAGGCTACGTATATACCCTTCATGCTTTACAATGTATTGAGAAACATACACGTACTCGTTAGTTGTAACCAAAGAGGTATATAGCAGGTATACATCTCCGGAGGGCGCCGTGAACCCTACCGAGTTCGGACCGCCCTGCACACGTTAGGGAGTGGCTATACTCAGGTGTAAGCCCCGCTATCATGCTACCTTTACAACTAGCTCCAGAGGAACACTTGTGTGAAAGCAATCGCGACCCCATGGAGCGTTGAGCCTCTACTTGTTCCCATATGGACAATGTATCTGTACAGAACTTCACTCTCAATAGCTGGTGTCACCAGCAGTGCTTGTGTTATATATCCTTCTCATTGCAAATAATTCTACATAGTTAGACCATCGGCCTATTCGATATGGGAAGCATTCAAATGAACAAGATGAAAATTTCTAGATGGTTAGAATGAAACATTTCTGTGATTAAGATGAATATCTTGCTTTTTTTCCACGTTTCATTCACATTTCTCTTCAGTTTTTGCACATGTGGTAATCAGAACCCTATTCGAAGGACAAAATACGGCAGAGTGCGCGGATTTACGGAAACAGTTTACGACGGAAAAAAGGTGGAGAAATACCTGGGAATTCCCTACGCCAAGCCACCTATCGGCGAGTTACGGTTCATGGTGAGTTGAACAATTATTATTTCATTGAGTTTGTCTGATTCGGTTTACAGGACTTCATTCAGTCAAACCTACTTTTTATATATATTTCTCGAATTTCAACATAGTGGATACAGAATCGTAGAGACTTTTTCCTATACAATTTCAGTGCTTTTACATGTATGACCGTTGTTGTCCGCTGAATGGACTTTCAGACGTTCATTGTTTTAGTGTAAAATATATATATATCTCTCTCTCTTGATGTATACGAACGACAAGACAATGCCTTATCTTTGGTTCGATTCCAATAAATTGTATGGCCAGGTCGACGGTATGTGTTTTAATAGCACATACGTTTATGGCCTTATAAATAAAGATTTATGCTAACTTGGCGTGTCTGTGGCGGAGAGGGTACCGTAGCGGACACGGAATGTCACTCCGGAGCAGGCCGGGACTCGGGACAATGTGCTTACCATCCCTTATAGCTGCTGTGGCCGGTAATATATTCTACAGAACTTCACATGTCAAGTTCTGATTAGGAATCGTTAAACCTCACTGTCGAATGTTTCCCGTCACATCCGACTTTTGATTTCACTGAAATGTTGATCTAGGGCTTCCGAATGGAATTGTGTAATTCTCTGGTTCTGCTTTTAGTACGTGTAACATTGGTTATTATCATACAATCCGGGAATGTTGCTCCCGAAAGTGAAATGCAGATAGGCGACACATTGTCCTTTCTTCACTGTGAAGTATGCAGAAATGTATTAGTTTTTATTGAAATTACCAGTGCGGGGACTCAAGCGGGTTGAATGTTTTTGCAAATAGTACAGAATACTACCTATGAAATCTCTCTGAATTTAAACTTAACAACATAAGACAAATCATTATATCTCAGCCAGATTCCATAACAGTTCACAAAATTACCATAGCATTGACACAGAGCAATTATACGAATGTAAACGTAAAAATAATGCTGTACCGATACAATTATACCAGTTATGGACTTGCCTTCAGGTGGATATAAGGTTATAAAAACAAGACAAAAAAAGATATTAACCGAAATGAAGTCGAGGTTAATATAACTTTTTAGTTAATATAACCTTGTAAATATTCACCATAAGAAAAGTCCTTTATTGTTATATAATTATTTTATCATTTCATTAAATGGAACATTAGAAAAACGCAAAGAGAAAGGTACTGCGTTTGACAGAGAGTATAACTGTGAGGTTTTAATTTAAATGATATCATAAAATGATGTTAACCTGTTTATCTATAAATGATTACATCGCGTTACATATATTGACAATAATTGATTCACACGTGATCACTTCTTGGCCAATCATAGTTCAAACAATGTGAATGCTATTTCATATAACTTAATATTATCTTATTACATACCAGTATATTTATTTTATAGTTACATGTATATTCTTTTATATTTTACATAAACCAATGTAATTACAAACAATTACCGTTTTGAATTACACATACATAACTGTTTATTACCCTATAATTGCATACATAACTGTATATGTCCTATATAATTATATAAATGACGGTTTATTACCCTATAATTACATGCATAACTGTATATTACCAATATATAATTACATTCATTTTTCTATATATTACCTTTATCAGTAGTGATATGCTTACTGTATATTACCTTTGTAATTACACCTTATATAACTGTATATTACCTTTGTAATTACACATACATAACTGTATATTAAATATACAATTATTTATACAATTACATACATAACAGTATGCTTCCTATTGAATTACACATATAAATGTTTGTTACATGTACCAGCATTCTTATACTATTATCAACTTACAATCGATCTAATTGTTCATGCACACGTAAAATTATATTTGATTGAATTGTTGATATATATGTACAACATCTTTATCAAAGGCAGAAATATAAATGGACATTCAGTCAGTGTAATTAAAGAAGGTCGAACTCTTCTCGTACCTGATTGAATTTCTTAACTAAGTTTCTAGACCATACATACGTGATCGCCTTTGATGTCGGGTCGGGGGATATGAAACATGACTAGACAAAAGGGAAAATTACTACAATTGGTGTTTTCATTTCATAAATTCTACATATATAAAAATGTAAGAATAATTATCACACATGAATTATAATTTGATAACCATTATAAGATGCCCAGACCAGAATGGGGGTATCGACCGGTTTGGATTCGCGCAATGAAGTTATCTCGACCATTCAGATTCATAGTTATCGCTTCTTTATGGACATTTACCGCCTGTAGTGAAAATAAATTGCGGAAGATAAAGATACGGAACGAGTATTATGATTGGCCCGGTGGTAGTTTACTATAAACTATCAAACACTGTTATGTGTTTTATTTGTGTAGATATACATGTAACACGTCTGTACTCCTAGCGCGGTGTGAGAGAAAGTCCCAGTTCTTAACACCTATATAGCTATGACGTATCTCTCTAGGCGTAGTTTCTGATATCTAAATGAAAATTACAGCCAGAAAAAAAGTACAAGGACATTCTATAAATTCTGGTCTCATTTAATATTGATATGTCGCATAGTTATATTGGAAAATAATATTTCTGCACTTCCAAACGTTGTGTAAGTTACATGTCATTTACAATGTAGATTCAGTAGTACATAAATTGTATAGATGACAATGGTTTGACGGGATGCTCTGGAGCCTGTTCGTTTATGCGCAACAACCGGTATGTGCATTTTTCGGGTATAAATCCTGGCGGACATGCAAAAGTGTAAGCCTTGAAAGGCTATGACAAGGCCGGCCTGAAAGCAGCATCAGATTACTAGGTCTGACCTTATTTCATAAACGAACAATCTGGTCAAACCGATTGAACCGTTTGGATCGCGATAAACGAAAACGGCCCAAGTATTAAGTTCTTATACAAACCTTCCTCTTTTTGTATATAACCACTACTTTACCTCAGATTACACTAATTACGCAATGGTTACTCCATTAGGTAAGAATTACACCGCAAACGCATTAGACTCTTAACCAACGAGTCCATAGCTAAACACAGGTAAAATCGGGACGAGTTATATAAATTTCGTGTGAAAAGGACACGAGTTTGAGATAAAATGTCACATTATCTACAAAAGAATGTGAATTCTGACTATTATCAAGATTTTTTAAAATATGGCAATCTGTACACCATGAATATTGCCATAAAATGTGACGTCACAGTGTTATGACGTCATGCCGATTGTCTTACTTCTTACGTCTCGTAGGGTGATATTACGTTATACCAAAAAACATCTCAAAAACCACACAGAAGACTTGTGATGAGTATACGATCTCTAATGGGGTCTCATGTCATATAAAGCCAAAGTTTTTAATAGCCAAGTTAAACGAAAAATTTGAAACGAGTTTCATAAATCTCATATGCATTAGAAATTCACCATGATCTTATATACTGTATATATATACGTGTTCAATTAGAGGACCGATAGCACACCGCCAACTATAAATATTAACGAACATAGATTTCATCGTCTCCATGTATATTTTAGATTCATATCGTATGTCTTAGGACGGAATAATTCCAGAAATGTTCTTTCTTCCTAATCCCAATATTTATGTGATATTCATAGTTTACGTCTACAGGAAAGGCGTATACCAAAGTAGTTAAATTTCTGAGTGTTTCCGCGAGATAATCTGGAGTGGCGGTCTCACGGTAACGGAGAGAGGTAAACGCGCCTGATCTACGGAGTAAATTCTACCCTCAAACAACATAATATATAATTAAATGTGCGCGTCTTTATCATCTTGTATTTCTGTTTTTCAACCGTTAAGCGGATCTTATCGCACGGAGGTAAGCACTTAGAAATGTAATACATTCTACTGCTGCCGATATTGCAAGACAATTAATCCCCCTTAAGACCTTTTTTATCAAAAGAAGGTCTTCTTGAAATATAATGTTGCCATATCTTAAAGCATTAATGAAGTCCTTCCCCGTAAACCTGCGCACCTCCGGCACAGTCCTGTGCCCATACGTCTCCCGAACAAACCCGATTTATGTCCCTACAATTAACTATACTTGGTAGAGGCAAAACGTATCATTATAGCGGAAAGCTTCACACGACGTAACACTGTACCCGGGGACCTCTAAACCGCAGTTATATCTATATTATGTAGGATATAGGGCGTATGCTAGGGTTTTATATGGTGTATGATATGTATCAATTGTTGAGGTGAATAAGACGTTATATGAACCTGTGAAAGTTATATTAACCGAGACGAAGTCGAGGTCAATATCACTCTCTCAGGCCAATATATCCACGTATTCACCAAAATAAAAGTTTTTAAATATTATAATGTTATATTAGATGCTAAATAATGTTTTAATCATTAAACAAGATGGAACGTTTGAAAATTGTACGGAGGAAAATACTTAATTTTTCAGAGAGAAATGTGAGGTTATAATTGAAATGACGTCATAAAGGGAATATTATCCCGCTGTTTTAAAAAAACAGGAAACAACGAGTGTCATCTAATATATTTCATAGGTTGTAAGATATGATTTTATTTGATGTAAGAACGCGTCATAACATTAATAACGTCTCAATATTGACCATCAAAAAATTACAACGAGTTGTACTTTTACAATTTTGAACTCTTTGCGTTCAAGTATAGTAAGCCTATTATCACGTAGAAACATAATCGTCTGGTCGGTCTGTCGGACTCCAGAATACGGACGTCACAACAAGTATGTCTGAAACTCAAGATAAAGTTGAAAGAAAAAACAAATTCTGCTGTTTCTCCATGAAGATATCTATCCAGAGGTCTTAAGTGGTCTCTCGAGTATTGTGTGTATTCGTTGAAAACGTACTGTAAAATGGTACAGTACATATATGGCGTATGTTTTCCATGTGGTCTGACAGATCCTGTAATACCATTCTTTCGGAAGTGGAAGGTTGCTACAATAACTGATCTATATCGGACATCTTGTGGGCTTTACTTTCTCCAAAAATCTTTTTGAGATTACATTTT